ATTTTCTTCCTACACATAGACAAACAATAGTTTTGAAACAAAAAACTGGTTCATAAATGCAGAAACTCTCGTCTGTCAGGGGTAAATTTTAATTCAAATTAAGAACTTTTTAATGCAAATTAAGGCTGTCGTCTGTCTATGGTATAAGTCGATTTATGCATGTCCGTCCGTCCGTCTGTCTGTTCATGTTAAATTTTAAGCAAAGTACAGGATGAAATTTGGCATAGTTCACTTATTTGGCCCAAGGACGAACCCTACTAAAATTGGGAAAAATCGGTCCAGATTTAGATATAGCTCCCATATATATTTTCGTCTGATTTAATGTAAACGGTCCCTATATATCTTTCGATTTGCACGAAATTTGGCTGAGCGTATTGAATTAGGTCTAGAATGATGTGTGTCAAGTTTCCTGAAACTCGGTTCAGATTTGGATATAGCTCCCATATATATTTTCGTCCGATTTAATGTTAATGGTATACCTATATATCTTTCGATTTGCAAGAAATTTTGCATGGGGTACTGAATTAAGTCTAGAATGATGTTTGTTAATTTTCGTGTAGATCGGTTCAGATTTAGATAAAGCTCCCATATATATTGTCGTCCGATTTAAGGTAAATGTTGTACCAAAGTCCCTATATATGTTTGATTTGCACGAAATTTGGCATATCGTACTGAATAAAGTCTAGAATGATGTGTGTTAAGTTTCGTGAAAATCGGTTTGGATTTGGATATAGCACTCATATATATTTTCGTCCGATTTAATGTAAATGGTGCACCAAAGTCCCTATATATCAATCGATTTGCACGAAATATGGAATAGTGCACTGAATTAGGTCTAGAATGATATGTGTTAAGTTTCGTTAAAATCGGTTCAGATATAGATATAGCTCCCGTAAATATTTCCTACGGATTTAATTGAAATGATGTATCAAAGTCTCTATATATTTTTCAATTTGCAGAAAATTTGTCATAGCGTTCTGAAGAAGGTCTACAAAGATGTTTGCTAAGATTCGGTTCAGATTATGTAATGTGTGCACTAAAGACCCAAAGTGTGTACGATTGCCACACAATTTTGTAAAAAGAATTGTAGTTAATATAAATAAATATCTGGCAAGTCTCGTTGAAATCAGTTCAGCATATATATTTTCGTCCGATTTTACACAAAATTGACACAAAGTTTTGCACAACGTACAGAAGTAAGTATAACCTAGAAGTTAGATATAAATTCTGCACCAAACTCCCCAGGTGGGTCCGATTGGCACAAAATTGTTCGCAGCGTACTCAAGATACTATAACATAACGTGTGGCTAGCTTTGTTGAAATCGGTTCAGTTTAGATATAGCTCCTAGATATAGTTTCAGCCGTTTGCTACAGAATTTTGCACAACGCACTGAAATTTATATTGCCTAACGTTTGCCAATTTTTTTAGTAATCGGTTCCGATTTAGATATAGCTCCCATATATAGTTTCGTCCGATTTTAGTTAAATGGTAAACCCAACTTTAGGCCGATTGACACAACACTTTGCAGTTTTGTTGAAATCGGTTCAAATTTGGATAAAGCTGACATATGCATTTTCTCCCGATATTAAGTAAATGATGCACCAAGAACTTGAAATGTGGGCGATATGCACAAAACATACTGAAATTAGTATAACCTGTGACTAGTTTCGGTGAAATCGATTTAGATTTCGGGTACTTTTCCACCCAGTGGTGGAAAAGTACCCTATGCAAAGTATTATCGCTTTCGGAGAAATATTTAATGTCTTTAGTGCAACATTTACATAAAATCGGTCGAAACTGTATATGGGAGCTATATCGAAATTTGAACCGATTTTCACGAAACTTAACACACATCACTCTAGACTCAATTATATGGGCTTTAATGTACCATTTACACACAATCTGACGAAAATGTGAGTGGGAGCTATGTCTAAATTTAAACCGATTTCAAAAAAAAAAAACTTAACACACTTCACTACGGACTCAATTTGGTACGCTGTACACATTTTAGTCCCAATCGGATAATTATTATTCACTTTGTTGTACTACAATTGTGTTGTAGTTTCGTCCTTTTGTTTCAGAAAATGTCAAGTCGAAAGGACGTAACTGACATAAAACCTTTAAAAAAGTCCGTTTGCATTTATGGTGACGATATATACGTTCTGGGGTCTTATTGAAATTAAGTAGAAATCAATTGTATCGTAATAATAAATTTTCGTAATAATAAAATTTTGCATTTCCGATTCCTAGTCAGTAAAAACATTTTTGCAACGGAGTTTTTTATTACAATTTCTATTGTCGGAATTTTTTATACAAATACCCACAATATACAAGACATATAATAAATCACTTTTCATCAAAACCATAAAAATATTTGCCAAAAAATAAAACAATGCATGAATGAAATGCTCTACTATTCATAATTTATAAAACAAAATTCACATAATTTTTTTTTCATTCAAAAACAAATATTTAATTATGAATAAAACGACTACTCTTTGTTTTACTTAAAACAGTTACACAAATTAAAATTCATTATTATTATAATTTCAATATTTTAACAAATTTCATTATTTAACAAATTTGAATTAGATACTACGAAAGAAGAAAAAAAACAATGCTTCCTCTAAATAAAACATCGGATGGCATCAAGTTGAATGTCAATGCATTCATCAACATCGTGAATAAATTACGAACATTTCTGGGGAAGTTAATTTCGTAAAAAAAAACAAACCAAAAGAAGAAATGTTAGTCTCATAAAAACGCTGCTGACTGGATAAATGTTTCCATAGACTCACAATTGGGATAAATGCTAACAATTGTTGTTGCTGTTGTTTGTCGGCGGACAACGTCATACGCCAACTCGTGTCTTCTCAACATCCATCCAGCAAAGCAAAAAAACAAAATCAGCAATTGTTTGTAGACAACGGATTGGAAGAAACCCACTTTTCAAATAACCCAGTTTCCATCGTTGTGTTTCATCTGTTTTTCTTTCTTTTTCGTTTCTTCATCTTCTTTTCCCAAAGCTTTGACTGACAGCCAGCGAGACAAACAAAGAAAATTGATATGAATTAAATGCGATCGTGTTGAGTTGTGTTGTGCAGGAAATTTGAGACATGAAATTAATTTGAAATTGTAGAGGTGAATTAATTCTTGAATAAAAAACAAACATAAACATATTCCAGGAATTTTATAGATTTTTGTAACTAATTTTTGCAATATTTTTGCATTAAACTATTTCTAGGCTAGGCTGAAACAAATCATATATACTCCTAGGCATAATTGCAAACGGAAGATCGATAACAACTGACATTTGCATTGATAATTTTGTTATTTTCAAAAAAAAAAAAAAAAAAACAGTGAGCGGATCAGTATAGTCGGACGGGGCCGACCATACGATACCCTACACAACTACCACGGAACTCTAACTTTCTGCGGATGTTAATTTCGAACCTGGGTAATAGTGATATTTGCACCTTTTTGACCGATTAGAGATCAACAGTACCTCTTCCTTACACTGACATAATATTCCCAATATTCAGTACAGCCCATCTAATTAGTTGTCCAGATTCTCTTCACCGTGATTTTTTTTTTTTGTGATATTCGGCTTGTGGTTTTCGGTCCACTTCATCCAAATTTGTTTATGTTATCGTCACCGAAAATTATACGCGTTGTCCTTAACCATAACTGAGCCTCTTGGAAAATTTTAAAGCGATCAGCGCTATATTGTGTTTAAAAAATTATAATGGACAGACGGGCGGACGGATGGACACACAGGTCTAGATCGACTCAGCTAGTCGAGATATGTCGATCAGTATACTTAAAGGTGGGTCTAGGGCCAATATTTTGCGTTGTTACAAACTCTTGGGGCTGCACAAAGCTATAAAGGCCTATCATTATAATTATGTAGGGTATAATTACTGAGTGTGGACTGACGACCATGTGTTGTGTTGTTTACAACGACTTGATGTAACCATTTTTTCAAAACAATGGAATTACTCGTGCATCGATGATTCCAAATCCCTGTATGGCTATGAAGTACCATCCCATAGCACTGTAAAAACCAGTAAGGAAAGTAGTAAAGTCGGACTGAGCCGACTATATGATACCCTTCACCACTTTGGGTATATTCTACATATGTATCCTAAAAGACGTCGCCTTTTCGAAGTAACATTGACATAAAATTGAATGAACTTAAAAATGTGATCTTTATCTATATCTAAACCGACTAACATCAATCCCTACACATGTCATTCAGCAACCTATGCTAAATTTTCTAATTCGATTTAAAGCAAACTTCACAAATGTTATTTGGTATGCTGCACTGTTTAAAATTTAATCTCAAATTATATATGGAAACTATGCTATATCTAAACCGATTTCAAGTAAACTTGCCAGAGATTAATTTATATTAACTTCAGTACGTTGTGTCAATCGGCCTAGCTAGGGGTCTTTAGTGCACCATTTACTTAAAATCGGACGAAAATATATATAGAAGGTGTTTGAAAATATATATGGAATCTATTTCTAAATCTGAACCGACTTTAACGAAACTTAGCACACGTCATTCTAGACTTAATTGAGTACGCTAGGCAAAAATTCGTGCAAATCAAAAGATTTGCAGGGATTTTGATGGAACATTTACCTAAAATCGGGCTCAACTATGTATGGGAGCTATATCTAAATCTGAACAGATTTGCACGAAACTTATCACACGTCATTCTACACTTAATTCAGTACGCTATGCCAAAATTCGTGCAAATCTAATGATTTTCAGGGACTTTGGTGCACCATTTACTTAAAATGGGACGAAAATATATATGGGATCTATATCTAAATCTGAACCGATTTTAACGAAACTTAGCACACGTCATTCTACACTTAATTCAGTACGCTATGCCAAAATTCGTGCAAATCAAAAGATTTGCAGGGATTAATAATTAATTCACATACACACACACTTCATTTCACTTTTCTCTTCTTCCTCTTCGTTAAACAGGTATCGATCCGGAAGGTAGCCGTCTGAAGTACAGTATATCAGGACCAGTTTTTTCTGTCGATCGTGATACGGGTGTGGTACGATTACGTCAGGAACTTGATCGTGAATCACAAGATTCAATTGAGGTCATCATCAGTATAACCGATGAAGGTGTCTATAATACCGAACCAAATACTGTGTCGCTGCGCAGAGTTATACCAGTGCGGGATTACAATGACAATCAGCCCACATTTGTGGGACGTCCATATTTGGCTAGTGTTAGCGAGGATTTGCCAGTGGGATCCGAATTGAAAATTGAACCTAGTATAATTGTTATTGATCGAGATATTGGTATCAATGCTGAGTTGGACATAAAATGTGTTGAGGTGAGTAACGGTTTTCTATTGTAATAAAAACGTAATTATTAATTCCATCGTTTTTTAGGAAAATGACATATGTGACACTTTTGAAGTCCAGGCTGAAAAATATGCGGAGGGTAATTACACAGCACGAGTTGTGTTGAAGAAACCTTTGGATTATGAAAGTCGTCCGAATTACATTATGACAATATCTGCCACAGATGGCGCCTTTGAAAATCGCCTATCTTCCGAGGCTACTGTCTCCATCACCGTACTCGACATTCAAGATCAATTGCCTATTTTCACAAACGCCCCCTACTCTGCAACTGTGGATGAAAATACCCCAGCCGGTGTTAGTGTGCTAACAATCAAAGCCATTGATGGTGATGTCGGCATACCCAGAGATATTTTATTAACCTTGGAAGATGATCAAATGGGTCACTTCGATTTAATGCCCTTTGGTGACCCCAAGGAGGGTACAGCTGTATTAAAAACAACAGATTTACCATTGGATCGTGAAAATCCTGAAATTTTACAAAATGGTGGCGTGTATATACTAAATGTGCGGGCTACGGAATTGGTAGATGGTTTGCCAACCGATGATTCGTCAACAACACAAATCACAATTGTGGTCAATGATGTCGATGATCATATACCGGAATTTAATGGGGACACATTCAACATTTCAATTGCTGAAAATTTGGGAAATGGTATGCCTTTGCCGGGTTTAACCGTAATCGTCGATGATCGTGATATGGGCAACAATAGTCGTTATTCTTTGGAATTAAGAAATGTCAAAAATGCTGAAAATACCTTTGCTGTAAGTCCCACTGAGGCTCAGGGTCGTACACCCATTGTGGTAAAAGTAATTAACTCCTCACGCCTTGACTATGATGTACTCGATGAAGAATTGCGGGAATTTTCCTTCGATATATTGGCCTTGGTAAATGGCGAAGAGAAATCCAGGGCTCGTATTAATGTCCACCTAACAGATGTCAACGATAATCCACCTATATTTGAAGAAACTAGTTATCGCTTCTTGGCAGCAGAGAATCTTACAGAGGGCACCCAGATCGGCATGGTTCGGGCAACGGATAAAGACTCCGATGGTTATGGTTTAATTACCTACTATCTAAAGGGCTTTGGTGCCGAATACTTCTATACCGACCCGTTGACTGGTGGTTTCTATGTCAATAAACCTTTGGATTATGAAAAACAAAATAGTTACAGTTTATCGATTGTGGCAGAAGATGGTGGTGGTCGGGAGGCCAATGCCCAGGTTTATGTTGAGGTCATCGATGTCAATGACAATTATCCACAATTTGAACAAACGGAATATTCACGAACCATACGCGAAGGCACCAGCCACTTTGAACCTCAATTTAATGTACGAGCCACCGATTCTGATGGTCCAACACAGGGTGGTGGAAAAGTTCGCTATGCCATTGTCTCGGAGAATAGCATATCGGGTAATGTGTTTAGCATAAATGAAGAGACTGGAGAAATTGTTCTGCAAAAGACCGCCCGCTCTATGGATACGGAAAAGGGTGAATATGAATTGGTAGTATCGGCAACAGATTTTGGTATACCCCCGTTAATGAATACGACAAAAGTTTATGTACGAGTTGGTATTTCGGGAAATCAACGTCCAATCTTTAAGGGACATTTTCAAAATATTGAAAATGTCCCTGTGTTGGGACCACCAAGTTATCGCGTCTCAATACCTGAAAATGCTCCCGCCGGCCATAATGTTACCATGGTCAAAGCTCACGATCCCGATGGTTTGGATAGTTTGTTGCGTTATCGGATAGTCGGAGCAAATGATAATTTTGAAATAGATGAAATGTAAGTGTCCTTGAATATTAGTTTCATAAAATCCGCGTTTAGTCCTTGAAAATTATTTCTATAAAAGCCCCACTTTGGTTTGGATAAATAGTTTTAATCTCTACATTATATTTTCTCTTTTAGTACTGGTCTCATTACTGTTTCACCACAAGCCCGACTAGATCGCGACTCAAATATGGATAGTTTTGAGATTACCGTAAATGCCGTCGATTCTGGATTACCTATACCTGAGACGGCAACAACTACCGTTTATGTCAATGTGAAAGATATCAACGATGAAAAACCGAAATTTGAACAGCATAGCTATGTTGCGTATGTTTCCGAACGCACTGAAATAGGCGAGACTGTACTTAAAGTTCGTGCCATCGATAAGGATTTGCATTCCAAATTAAATTATACCATTAAATCACCCATAAAAGCAACCTCTAAAGCTGGTGTTAGTATCACCAATCGTAGCAAATACAATGTGAAGGAAGCTTTTCGCATTGACCCTGCCAAGGGTATCATTTATGTTAATGGTAAGCTGAGCCATGATGAGGCAGCCGTGATTATTTTACCCATTGAAGTCAAAGATCTCAATGCCGAAGTGGATCCGGAGGGTCAAATTGATACAACGGAAGTCACCATTTATGTACAATCCTTTAAGGATACCAATCCCGTGTTTACAAATAAAGGTTGGACCAGTTCCAAGCCAATAGTTCACATCAATATTATGGAAGAAATGCCCATCGATAGTACCCTGTTCACCTTGCAAGCCAATGATCCGGTAACACAATTACCCATTTTGAGTTTTGAATTGGTCGAACCCAAAGAATTGGAATATTTCCATCTGCACGAACGTTCCGGAGAAGTTAGTCTACGTAAGCGTCTTGACTATGAAGCACTGCGTGAGGGACAGACACAATTCGAATTTCAAGTGAAAGCCAATGCTCCAGATTTACAGCGTAGCACTGTGACTTTGGTCAATGTGACGGTGCAAAATGTCAATGACAATAGTCCCATATTTGAAGAAGTCTCCTATCACACTTCCATTGTGGAAAATAAACAACACCCGACCAAAGTTATACAAGTTAAGGCCACAGATAAGGATGCTGCCTTAACCGAGCGTGACGAACGTTTGGGTTATCACAAAATCTCCTATTCTCTGTATGGTGAAAATTCTCATTTATTCGAAATAAATTCTCAAACTGGGGAAATAATCATAGCTCCAAATCAAACGGTGGATCGCGAAAGAACACCGCATATTAAGCTGCAAGTCAAGGCTGAAGATTCGCCCGGTCGTCCCACCGATTCTAAGCAAAGTTTAGTCGATCTCACCATCGATGTCTTGGATGTCAACGATAATGCCCCGGTTTGGAGTTTGCCTGAATATACCACAGTTATACCGGAAAATGCTCCAACTGATACATTTGTCATTAAGCTATTGGCCACCGATTTGGATGATGGTCCCGGTGGTGAAGTCCAGTATGAAATTATAGATGAGGGTGAAGTTTATGGTTATTTCAAAATTAATAAAATGACTGGAGAAATTAAAACGAAGCGAGAACTAACGGGCAAGGGAAGATCAGAACCATTTCAGATAAGGGTACGAGCGGCAGATAATGGGGATCAGGTACCCAAACAGAAGTCTTTAAGCAGTGATGTAAAGGTGGTGATCTTTATTGGTGATGTTAGTGCCAATGATGGTATTCCGTATTTTGTGGAACCCGAAATTGGTCAAATGGTTAATGTGACGGAGGTAAGAAAATTGAAATACTATAATAGTTGAAAAATTTGTTTAAAAAAAATTCAGCTGTAGCTTCAGCGTAGCTTACGATAAATTCATTTTTAAATATCCATGTTTAAGGAACAGGAACAGTCATTGAAGTCAAAAATCCACGCTTCGGAGATAGCCCTTGATTTTTTATACCCTTCACCACACTGTGGTACAGGGTATTATATCTTTGTGCATTGTTTGCAACAGCAAAAGGAAGCGAGAGAAAATGCGTAGAATCACTTTCTGAGTCGATTTATGTATGTCCGTCTGTCCATGTTAAATTGTAAACAAAGTACAGGTCGCAGTTATTATCCGAATTGGATGAAATTTGACACAGCTCATCTATTTGGCCTAAGAACGAACCCTATTGAAATTGGGAAAAATCGGTTCAGATTTAGATATAGCTCCCATATATATTTTCGTCCGATTTAAGGTAAATGGTGCACGAAAGCACCTATGTATTTTCGATTTGCACTAAATTTGGCATATCGTACTAAATTAAGTCTGGTGAGATGTGTGTTGTTTCAGATTTAGATATAGCTCCCATATATATTTTCGTCCGATTTTATCTATATGTTGCACCAAAGTCCCTATATATCCTTCGATTTGCACGAAATTTGACATAGCATACTGAATTGAGTCTAAAATTATTAGCGGAAAAATTCGTGAAAATCGGTTCAGATTTAGATATTGCTCCCATATATATTTTCGTCCATTTTAGGTAAATGGTGCACCAAAGTCCCTATATATCCTTCGATTTGCACGAAAAGTCCTTACTTAAAAAAAAAATAATATTTATTATATATTTTAACAGAATTTACCTGCCGGCACTGTTGTATTCCAAGTTCGAGCTGCAGATCCCGATGATCCCAATACACCTTCGGGAACTTTATTCTACAGAATATTAGATGATACCGCAGATGCACAGTCTTTTAGTATTGATGAAACCACGGGTCTTATTGTTACCACCGAAGTACTGGATCGTGAAGCCAAGGATATGTATAACATCATATTGGAAGTATACGATAATGGACAGCCAAGGCAATCGGCAACAAGGGTGCTACAGGTCAAGGTGTTAGATGTGGACGATCACAAGCCCCGATTTGTGAGGGAAATTGTAAGAAAAATATTGTGATTAATATTCCAAATAAAAAATGTGATTTGACCTCATTTCAATTTCAGGATGAAGGACCATTGGAATTAATGCTGTTGGAGGAGGAGCCTAAGGACACCGTTGTGGGTAATTTTTCCGCCATAGATGAGGATATTGGTGAAAATGCTGCCATCGAATATATCATTACCGAGGGTAATGAGATGAATGTTTTCACTGTTGAAAGAACCGATGATAATCTGGCCATTCTTAAGACCAATCAACCAGTGGATCGTGAAGCTGTTGAAAGTTTTACACTAACCATTAAATGTTTGAAATTGGGAGAACCTAATTCAGTGTATCTGGGTGAAACCTATGATCGTTTTGATCTTTCACAGCGGCGGATTTTAATTAAAATCATGGATATCGATGATAATTTGCCACAATTCGAACGCAAGGATATGTCGGTGGGTATACGAATCAATGTACCGGTGGATAGTAAAGTTACCACCATTCATGCTGTGGATCTTGATGCAGAGGCCAAACCCATACAGTTGACAATTGAAAATGTAACATTTGTACCACAATTCTATAAAAGAACGAAACAAATTGAAACCACTTCATTGCAAAATCTATTCACTCTCAACAATAGAACGGGAGAATTAAGGACCAGTGGTTCCTTTGCCGATTATGTTGATGGTTATTTCAATATGCGTATAAGAGCAAATAATTCGGAGAAAATCAAACGTCATACATTTAATAATTTGAAAATATTCGTTATACGCGATAAATCTCTGCTGAAATTTGTATTCACTCGACCACCGAGTGAAATTCAAAATATCATTAAACCCTTCCAGGAAATGATAAAGGAAAAACTGAAGCCTCTCGGTTTGGATTTACATCTGTTGGATACCCAAGTTTTGGCTCGTGCTGATTTAAGTTTAGATTTTACGGCAAGCAGTTCATGTTTCCAATTGTTCAAAAACGGTTCAGCTGTGTCCATGATGGAAATGCAAAAACTAATGGATTCACCCTGGCTGAAGAGAGAACTATTCGATATTTATGTGGAATTTGGAGTCAGTGAAGTGGAACCATGTTCGGTAAGGAAACCCATTGCTGCGGCAAGTTATATGTCAGCACCGGGTACATGGTTGGTTATCATAGCTGGGTTCATTGGACTAGCGGCCATTATAACAGCCTGCACAGCATGTTGTCTGAGGAGAAAGTAAGTTGGGCATATAATTTACTCAAAATGTATAACATAACATTAATCAAACCCCTTTGTCTTTGCAGATACAAAATACACTCGAAACGTAGCATACAACAGGCATCACGTTCCACCACCGAAACATATGGGGTAGTGGGTGTACCCACAGTTTATTTACCCTATTCTGAACCAATTTATGGTCCATTGTAGCATCCAGTCATGTGGCATAGTTTTAGTTAATTATAATACTGCAGATAAGTTCTAGATTTCTAAGATCCCTCTTAGCATACCCCGTAGTATCCGTTCAAAATGTCCCGATTCAATGCAAATGTTGAATTATGGTCATTCGCAAAAAAACTAGCCATAAAGACTGCGCATATTATTTCAAGCAAACCGTTTTAGTTTTATAATATGCCTGTGATTTTTTTCTTCTTTGTAATACATACAATACAGAATAATGCAAAACTTCACATCGACAATTTATGTATTGATGTATTTGCCCTTAGTTTTTATTTTAATTTTAAATACTATACTATAATTCTATTTTTATTTAATTTCTGAAATGTGATTCATAAGAGGTTTTAAGCTTCAATCTTTTTTTCATTTCTATTATAAATTTTAAATTAATTTTTAATTGTACGCAAACAACGAAATCATCATCATAATCATGTTTAAACATGTTAGTCTTTAGTTGTAAAAAAAACTATAATGTAATAAGATTATGTATAAATTATTTTTATATATTTTTTGTAATTTTTTCGTATAAAATAAAAGATAAGTGAAATTAAATTGAAATCTGTTTTCATTAGTGAGTATTTGTATACACTTCTTCAAACATTGGTGACATTGGATTAACAAATTAAAAAAAATAATTGTAACACTTTGTTGGAAAGGTAACAGAAAAAGTGGAACAACTCGTCCAATCTTCATGATTTATATCTGTAAACTAAACATATTTCCATAAGAAAAGTTATGATACCCTTCACCACTTTGGGTATATTCTACAAATGTATCCAAAAAGTCGTCGCCTTTTCGAAGGAACATTGACATAAAATTGAACGAACCTAAGTATGTGATCTTTATCTATATCTAAACCGACGAAACGAAACTATATATGGGAGCTATATCAAAATCTGAACTGATTTTCAAGAAACTTAGCACTCATCAAATCAAAAGATTTGCAGGGACTTTGGTGCACCATTTACCTAAAATCGGGCGAAACTATATATGGGAGCTATATCTAAATCTGGACCGATTTTCACGAAACTTAGCACACGACATTTTACACTTAATTCTGTACGCTATGCCAAAATTCGTGAAAATTGAATGATCGGGCGAAACTATATATGGGAGCTATATCTAAATCTGAACCGATTTTCTCCAGGGTTCGTCCCTGGGCCAAATAAGTCACTTGTGCCAAATTTCATCCAAATCGGATAATAAATGTGACCTGTACTTTGTTTACAATTTAACATCAACAGACGGACGGACATGCATAAATCGACTCAGAAAGTTATTCTATGCATATTCTCAAAAGGAACCATAGGTCTATCTCGATTCCTTTTGCCTGTTACAAACATATGCACAAAGCCATAATACCCTGTACCACAGTGTGGTGAACATGGAACTCATATGGACTGATATTGATTTTGTTGGTGCGAAGGCTGCCTTCATACCAAAAATATAAAATGAAAACCAGTGAGCGGAGCAGTATAGTCGGACGGGGCCGACCATATGATACCCTACACAACTCCCATGAAAATCTAACTTTCTGTGGTTCTATATTCTGAGATTGGCCAATATTTCGCGATATTTGCACACTTTTGACTGGCTAGAGGTCAGAAAATGTTACTAATAATCAGTACAGCCCCTCTAATTACTTATCCAGATTCCCTTCACCGTAGGTTGTGTTGTGATGTTCGGCTTTCGTACAAATAATTAAGTTTCGATCCACTTCATCCGAAAAATTATTATCTGATCATCACCTAACATTTTAGGCGTTGCCCTTGACCATAACTGGAACCTCATGGAACATTTCAAAGCGATCAGGCTATATATCCGCCCTAAAGTGTGGTAATAGGTTACTAAATAATATATGAATACGTAAGCAACTGTAAATATTTAAGTGTAACTCCCGCATCCGAGCACCTACGACAATATGATAGGTATCAATTTAAAGGTCAACCACTCCTCTTGGATATACTATCAACTTCTCGGATCTATGTCCTTCAGGAGTAAATATATACGCCATAGAATACAAATTGTGTAATATTTCACACAAAAGTCAGGGTCCATTTGACCCGCTAAATATTGAGCGATCTTTATCAAAACAGACATGCTTAGTCTTTGGCCCTCTTCTTTATGTAAAAATTCCCAATGTTTGGGTCATAATTGCGGCCTCTGAAGCGACCCTTTATTGGACAGAACCCATGCTACATGCAAAATTCCGTGAAGATTAGTCCATAACTGCGGCCTCTATCGTGTTTACAAATTTTTTCCCTCTGGATGCCCTTCAAACATAGCCCATTAACTTCAAGTTTATAGCTCTGAATGTGCTTTAAAAATGAATCTTAAACACCTACAAAATTGAGGACATGGGTAGAAGACTATATTAAGAGCCCAGAAGGACAAATTTACCATTCATTAAGAAAGAGCCACATATATTTGAGTGCGGTTATTCCTGTTATTAAGGGAACCCACCCCCCATTCCCGATTTTAATTTTTCAAGATTTTTAATCGGCTGGTAATTCAATACCAATGCATGTTAATGTTTGTAACTTTGCACATATATAATTTAAGATTTAAAAGAGAAGAAAAATAATTTACAAAAAATTTTTGTTATTGTTTTGTTGTTGTTTTTTGTAATTAAAGAAAAGTCCTTATTTTTGATGGCGGGCATGATAACTCCCCACTGGAACATCGGAATCCGAAAATTCCAACGGTGTTAGAAAGAACACATGTCTGTCTCTCGTATGAACTAGGATTATTGACTTCTAAAATTAACAAAATGGCGGACCTTTGAAAAAATATTTTTGGAAAATCGCAGATTTTTTACAAAAACCAAATTAAAAAATAAGGAAGATCTTCACCGATTGACTTTATCCTAGTTCATACGATAGCTATACACTCACAGAGAAACGTGTAAAAATTAGGAATCGATTGGGTTATTAGTTTTTGAGTTGTCGTGCCCGCCATTCCCAAAAGAGAAAAACGCGTTTAAAGTTTGGAAGCGCTTCAGCCGTCACTTGATGCTGACACAATAAATCGAGTTCTTGAGATTTTCTCTTGAAATTTTGTAGATAAATTCCTGAATTTCTGTAGATTCGAATTAAATCAAAAAAATTTTGACCCCTTAAGAAAGATTTTTGTTAAAAAATAGCCCCCTTCTATATCGAGTTCTAGCGCGTATTTCTCATCCTTATTGCTCTGAGCCGTAAACTAAATGCCACATGACGAAACTTTGGCATCCAAATATTCCACCAGAAATCGATAATCGTATGTTTTCCACATCCTCTTCCACTTATACCCCATCTTTGCTCAGAATTCCTTTACATCTAATAAAGTTCGTATAAATTGTATATTAAGAAGACATTTTTACCACTAAATAGATCTCAAATACGTTAATAACATCTATATTTTTTAATTTTAGAAGTGGATTTTCCTTATGATATATATTTTATCTATTTATCTTTAGATAACATTTATCTTTAAATAACTTTAAAAATCTAACAAATTATTGTTAAAAAAAAAGTTTCTTATAGCATTTTGAATAATAATTTTAAAATTGAGTGTCCTTTGAACAAAAAATTAGAAAACAATCCTCGTCAATATTTGTGATGTGCGTGTTGCGAAAAACAGAATATTTTTGTTATCGTATGCTTTGTAAAAAACACTTCATATCTTATCAATCATTTATATTATTACGGTTATCATTTGCGGGGCTTTAGTTTTATGAACTTCCTGGGAACATTGTTATCAATTGGTGGATTTAATAAAAATATTGTCAATTACATTATGGTGTTTGTATTAACAAACCACAGCTACAATAGGGATGGCAAATATTTGCAAAGCTTTTAAATGTATGTTTTTTTTACATTAATTTACACAAACAACATATGGCAAATGTTGGCAACAACAAACAACTTGTATCAAGTTTATTTAACGTTTTTGTATGTTACAATAAAAATAATTAATTATTCAAATTTTTGTGAAATGAAATATGAAATAAAAATATATACGACAATATATCGAGATGAATGAGGACGGCAAATTATAGAAAATAATATTTATGCAATAGATACAATTTTGGAAAATCGATCAACAATCCATCTTATGCCGAGTTTTGAAACCAAAATAACTCCATATGTCCAAATCATTTATTTTCTAATTCATATTCTTTTTCGAAATGATCAGCAACAAGCTATTACAACAAGACAATAATGATAGTACTTGAAAGTGATTTATTTGATTTTGCACTGATCATCAATCAAAATGATAATGATGAGGACAAGAGTTCTGAATTGTATGTTGCCAAAATACTGGCTTCACACTCCAATCACTCATTTGTGACACATATGACCATTGTTGCGATTTGAGAATCAAATGGGGACGATATAATCTGCCTCATCATTGTTTTCATCATGTTATTCTTTATTCTTCTATTATATAATACTTTTATATATTAAGATATAATAAAGCATATAATATCATATTTTATATACAGAGCGATAGTAACTAACCTAACCCAAATGTTGTAATAAAATTAATGAGCACGTTGTTAATTTTTGGCCTGTTCATAATCCTTAACAATGTTCGGCAGTTCATTTATTTCTTTCACCCCCATACAAACTCATCATTTATGGTGGGTGGTTAATGCCTTGCCGTATATTTTTAGACAGTACAGTTCGCCTTTATAACGAAACACTTGTTAGTAATTTTTTTAAACAATCATTGTTATACAGTGACGCAAAGATTAAAAAATAAACAAATTTCAGAATATATTATATTCATATATATTGGCGATATAAAAAATGCCAAAATCGAATATTTGAAGAAATGGGAAAAAAGCGACATGAGGCCTATGTCAAAGTATGCCACTTCGTTAAGAAATGCTGATAAAATATTCAAAATATCAATGGGTCGGAACAGTTATAAAGATGACTATGTCTAAACATAGCCCTATATTTTGCAAAGTTTTTTTACTACCAAGAACTCGGAGTACCAAATTACAGTTAATTCG